AAAAACCAAAAAAAAAAAAAAAAAAGAATTACTATGTATTCCAGGCCAGTTTGGGACCCTGATTCAAAAACCATATAACAATGGGCTGATGGGATGGCTCAGTTGGGAAAGAGAGTTTGGTGCACAGCATGAAGGCTTGACTGTGAATCCCCAACCAACGCACACACACACACACACACACACACACACACACACACACACCAGTCATGGTGGCATATGCCTTTGTTCCCAGCACTCAGGGGCAGGCTGATCTCTGAGTTCCAGGCCAGCCTGGTCTACAGAGCAAATTTCAGGACAGCGAGGGCTACACAGAGAAACCCTCTCTTGAAAATCCAAAAAGAAAGAAAGGCTGCTGCAACAGAAAAAAAAAAAAATCAGAGCCGTTTGGGTCTGCCCAGCTTGGAATTGTAGCATGTTGGTTTGGTATTTAAGTTACTTCTAGAGGAAATGAATTTGCATTATAAGTTCCTTAGCTATTCCTTCACCTGGGCTCCTGGCTGCCTGGAGCCTGTCCTTCCCTCCTCCTCTGCCTGATTTCTGTTCTTCCTTCATTTCAGACCCCTGGCCATCAATCTGACCAACTGCAAGTATGAGAGTGGTAAGCACTGGGCTCCTCACTCACAGCCGTGTGGGCAAGAGGGACCGCTGTTGTTCTTCCTGGGGCAGAAGCACAGCCGTTCCCCCAGCCCCTGGTTACCTACTGCCTACACTGAGGTCCCCAGGCTGAGCTCTTCACAGTGGAGATGTCCATATTTCAGCTGGTCTCACTGGTAGGGAAGGCATCTCCAGTTAGCTGGCAAAAAGAAACAAACAAAAAACCCCACAAGCCAGGCACTTGGGAGGCAGAGGCAGGCAGATCTCTATGAGTTCCAGGCCAGCCTGGTCTACAGAGTGAGTTGACAGCCAAGGCTACATAATGAGACCCTGGGGGGGGGAACTAAAAACTAAATAATGATAATCATTTAAAGGGGGGCTGATATAACTCATTGATAGAATACTTGTCTAACATGCATGAAGCCTTGGGTTTGATCCTCAGCACCCCATTAAACTGGTCCTGGTAGCTTCTGCCAGCATTTAGAAGATGGAGTCAAAAGGATCAGAAGTTTAAGGTAATCCTTGGCTACATAGCCAGCAAAAAACATGACAAAAAGTCTGTCGGAGTGTCACCATTGCCCTACCCTTCAAATGAGGAACAGAAGGAAAAGTTAAAACTGCTTTGGGGACTGGAAAGAGAACTCATTATATACATGCACTTGTCAACAAGGCTGAGAACCCAAGTTCAATCCTGGGGACCCACATGGCAGAGGGAGACCCCTGCAAATTATCTTCTGACCCCCACATGCACATGATCTGACACACATGTGCCCACCTACACATACATGATTAAAAATAATGAAAATCTTTTTTTTGCTTTTTGATTTTGTTTTTTTTTTTTCTAGATAGGGTTTTCTTTGTACAACCCTGGCTGTCCTGGAACTCACTCTGTAGACCAAGCTGGTCTTGAACTCTCAGAGATCCGCCTGGCTCTGCTTCCTGAGCGATAGGATTAAAGGTGTGCGCCACCACTGCCCAGAAAAATAATGAATATCTTAAAGAGCAAACAAACAAAATCCCAGCTATTTTTTGAAAGGTTGAGAATTTAGCTCAATGGGTAGGTTTAATCTCCAACACCACAAAAACCAAAAAACCATGTTTTTCCCAAGAGGCTCTCAAGGGGCGTAACAATAAAAAGTCATAGCCCAGCTAGGTCAAGGTTTTCATCTGTCTCCTCCTCTCCCTACTGACATCTGTACAAAGAGCCACATCAGAGTCTTAGATGCCAGTGTGCTCCGACTGAGGGTTAGCTGTATATCCAAACAGTCCTGACCCAGAGCAGCAGAGTCCAGCTCTTGTTTTCTCTGCTAGCCACATGAACTTGAGATTGCAGCCTGGTAACTATGAGGCTGAGGTAAGAAGCACATGCCTTTACAGTCTGCTCTCTGGTCAGGTCTGCTCCTTCCTCGGCCCGGCTAGAGTTCCGGGGCTCATGGCTGGTGCCCAGGCTGGCAGCATTAACTCTTCCTGTCTCTGCAGTGCGCCGGGCAGCCCAAATGTGTGGCCTGAAGGAAGTGGGGGAGGATGAAGAGTGGACTGTGTACTGGACAGACTGCTCTGTCTCACTGGAACGAGTCATGGACATGAAGAGGTTTCAGGTACCAATGTCCTGGCCCAACATCCAAAATGAGCATCCCCACCCACTCTGGCTGCCCTGACATGGGGTCATTGCCTCTTTCCATTGCTGTGCCTTATCCAGACAGGGAGGCCACCCCCAGGTCTTCTGCTCCAATAAAAATATTCTCCTCTTGGCTCTCTGGAGCTTCTGTTACCTGAAGTAAGTGTTGGGTGGGGACGTCCCTGTCACATTATTTCTTCTGACCGGTGGCTTCTGACTAGCCCGTCTGCCGCATTGAGAGCAGGTGTGCCCATCTTGGGGCGAGGCCTAGAAAGCGGCTTCAGGGCTAATAGCAGAAGGCTAGGGACTTGGCTCAGTGCTCTGTAGTACAGTGCTTGCCTAGTATGCAAAAGGCACCGAGTTCAATTGCCAGGATCTAAAAAAAAAGGGGGGAGGGGGCTAATGATTAGGCCACATGGATGGTTTAGTATCTAAGCAGCTTAGCATCACACATCTACCAAGAGAGTGTGGAAGAGCCAAAGGTGGTAATCTACACCAGTGATCCCAGCACTTGGGGGGTGGAAACGAGGAGCAGGAGGATCTCAAGGCCATCTACATAAGACCCAGCCTCAAAAAAGAAACAAAAGAAACACACACACACACACACACACACACACACACGACAGAGAAGGGGAGGGCAGGAGAGAGAGCCAGCCAACAATCGTATGCATGGAGCTGGGCATGGTATGGTGGTACAGGACAGTAATCCCAGCAGTCAGCACGCTGAGTCAAGAGGATGAGGTTTTTGAGGCTATCTATCCTGGGCTGTCTATCAATACCCTGGCTCAAAACAACAAAAAGCAAGACAGTGTGTCATCATGTCTGGTGAAGTCATGTGTGGCTTAATGATGAGGATTCGCAGGTAAAGAATGGGTTGGTGGGCGATTTCCTCGCGGGAACACTGCAAGTGCAGTAAACAAATGTCTGTCCATCGCTAGGTGATGAGGTTTTCTAGGAGCACCATTTGGTCTGTGCTTTGTCCTTACCTGAAATGTCGCAATGCAGTATGTCACTAACTAAAAAGGGTCTGTAGGCTTCTCTAGGGGAGTCGAGAAAGGGAGCCCAGGAGAGAGTAAATGCTCTAAATGCTGGAAAAGCTGCAAAGAGGGGCTATGCAGGGAGCAGCTGTCAGATGAGGATTACTGATTAACAGCTTTTACCAAGGGATTCCTATGTATCAGCCAGATGCTGTTAGGTGTTTTTATATTGCTTCTTCATTGAATCCTTAGCATGCCTGAGTGGCAGAGAGCGGTATGTTAAAAAGAGGACAGGAAGGCTCAGAACACAGAGTTCACACAACAGTGGCTAAGGAAGGCAGCTGGATGCACTCTGCTGTCTCATCCTTCTGCCTCCATCCCCGCAAGGTAGAACAGCTAAGGGCCCCAGCAGACCCCCTCTCGTGCCGTGTGGTCTCTGGGTGCTGTGGCATGCATTCCCTACAGTCCTTTTGGTTTCCTTTTCTCCTCTGTGTCTTCATGGAAATGTGTTTCTTATTATTTCTTTGTGTTATCGTGTATCATTCTTCTTTTAAAAGTAAGTGTGTGTGTGTGTGTGTGTGTGCGTGTGTGTGTGTGTGTGTGTGTGTGTGTGTGTGTGTGTTGCTGAGAACTGAACCTAGGACCTCATGCCCACTGATCAAACACTCCATCACTGAGCCTTATCTTGGTGGACCAAGGATGTGAGACGGTGGCTGGAGATCACAAGGTCCTGGTTAGTCTACACTTTTCTAACTGTCCTCTCCTTTCTCAGCCTTGCTGTAAGTGCGTACTGGGAAGAGGCCATGGAGTGACTTCCCACCTGCCTTATGGAAGCCTCCGGTTTCACCCTTGCTGACTAGATACAGCGCCATCCTCCCCTGGGACGTCCTTTCCTTTCCAGTCCCTTTCTATGGCTCCATGGGATGCCCAGGTCCTAGGAACTACCACGTACTCCCGGGGGCAGTATAACCAACTGACTCTGTTTCAGAAAATCAACCACTTCCCTGGCATGACAGAAATCTGCCGCAAAGATCTGCTGGCTCGGAACCTCAACCGCATGCAGAAGCTCTACCCTACCGAGTACAACATCTTCCCTCGAACCTGGTGTCTCCCTGCAGAGTGAGTGAGCCGAGATCCTGGGGGCAGGGTAAGGAGTCACTCTCTGTGGTCTTGTGACCCAGACGTGTTTAAGAGGGTTGGAACTGGACCAAGAAAGATTCAACTGACCGGGTGGTGGCGCACGCCTTTAATCCCAGTCCTCGGGAGGCAGAGAGGCAGGTGGATCTCTGTAAGTTTGAGGCCAGCCTGGTCTACATAGCAAGTACAGGCTAGCCAGGGCTACAAAGAAAGACTGTCTCAAAAAAAAAAAAAAATTCAGCTGGCCAAAGCAGAAGTGGGTCCAAGGCTAAGTGCTCCAAGAAGAGCCTGGAAATAGATAACAGGAAGATGGCCATGGGGGTCCCAGGACAGTCAGGATGCACAGAAACCCTTTGACCAGCCTCTCTCTGCATGTAGCTATGGGGACTTCCAGGCCTACGGTCGTCAGCGGAAAACCCGCACTTATATCTGCAAGCCAGATAGCGGCTGTCAGGGGCGTGGCATCTTTATCACCAGAACCCCTAAGGAAATCAAGCCAGGAGAGCATATGATCTGCCAGCAGTACATCACCAAGGTGAAGGCCACCTCGGAGCCCCCAGGCCTTTCCCCACACTGGGATGCCTTATCCCTTGTACATCAGGGCAGACGTCAATTATAGGCTCGTGCCCTCTCTGCTGTCCTTGTTATCTTACAGACTGTAGCCATTGTTCAGAGCTAGCCAGCCTTGATTTGACTCACAGCTTTCCCGTATCCCAGACACATGATCTTGGGCAGTTATCTGGCCCTTTCCGTGGCACTATTTCCTCACTGTTAAATAAGAATAACAACAGTCACTGCTTTGTATGATTATTGTGAGGATTCAATGTGTTATATAGTGGAAGCACCTGTAATAACCATATATTGCATGTAATACGCACTTTAGAAGTTCATTAGTATTCCCTCTGGGTTTGCGTGCTCTTAGCCCTTCCTCATTGATGGCTTCAAGTTTGACATGCGAATCTATGTTCTGATCACTTCCTGTGACCCTCTCCGGATCTTCATGTATGAGGAAGGCCTGGCCCGTTTTGCCACCATGCCGTATGTGGAACCTAGCCATAACAACCTGGTGAGGAGGCAGGGTGGCCCCCTCTTCTCCTTCATTGCCATGAGTGCCTTGGTTCTAGGGACAAGCATGGTAGGAAAATCTGTCATTGCCAGCCATGACCAAGGAAGGGAGCCAGTGAGAGTCATAGCACCCGGGGGAGCCCTTGCTGGGTGGTGACCAAGGAAAGGTTCTGTCTGAAGTGACCAGGATCATACAGGACAGTCCCTGGTGAAGAGGGCCAGGTGATGAGCAATCTTGGGGCGGAGCAGTGGGTAATAAGAAGGCACCAAAGAGCTGGAGAGGCCACACAGAGGCAGGGTGAGCCAATATCGGGCCATTCACTTCACAGGAGGATGTGTGCATGCACCTGACCAACTATGCGATCAATAAACACAATGAGAATTTTGTCCGGGATGATGCTGTGGGCAGTAAGAGGTATCCCCTATTCTGTTTTCCCTTGCTTCCTTTGCCTTTAGTCCCACAGTCTCAGGAGCCCATGAAACCCAACTGGCTCTTGGGAAGCTGATTTCTCAGGAGTCTCTGATTTTGAAGACCCTAGTCCTGTGTCTGAGCTCTAAGTGCAGACTCAACCACCTAGGGCCCTAGTAACTAATCCCAGCTCCCAGCTGCTAGCAGCCTTTTGAAGCCCAGGGTCCCAAACACCGAATTGGGGTTAACGTCAGGGAGCCTCCTGCCTGCAGCCAGGCCCTGCTGGCATGGAAATCGGTCTTCCTCTGAGCACTGGGCCTCATAGGAAGCTGTCGACACTCAATGCCTGGCTGCGAGAGCACAGCTATGACCCCCGAGAGCTGTGGGGGGACATCGAGGACATCATCATCAAAACCATCATCTCAGCCCACTCTGTTCTTCGCCACAACTACCGAACCTGTTTCCCCCAATATCTGTGTGGAGGTACATGTGCCTGCTTTGAGATCCTGGGTTTTGACATCTTACTGGACCACAAGCTCAAACCCTGGCTTCTAGAGGTAAGACTTCTCTCCTCAACTTGCCAAGGCCACAGTCAGAGGCCTCCCCCTGGGAGGAGTGTACTCACACGGTAGAATAGGGAGGACAGGGAGGTAGAAGTCTCAGGGTGGGCAAGAACCAGGTGACAGCGTAAGATTTTCTCATTTGCCAAGACAAACACTGGTGCTCTTTGCCCTCTACAGTAGTAGTTCAGACTGGGCATGTCCGTAATCTCAGTGCTTGGGAAGCGGAAGAAGGAGGATTATGATTTCAGAATGAGCCTCAGCTACATAGTGAATCTGAGGCTAGCCTGGATTCTATGAAACCCAGTCTCAAAAACCCAAGGAAAGCAAGCAAGCAAGCAACATAGCAATCCATGTTCAGGACCCCCCAGTGCTCCCTGAGTGAGTCTAGCCCTTCAGGACCCTGTATCAGCAGTCAAGTTGTCTGGCTTTCTCTCACTAGCCCGTAGATGGGTCAGATCTCTCCTCAGGTGTCGGCTCAGGCCACAGGAGGGAGCGGTTTCTCCCCAGACTAGACCTACAACAGACCAACCCCTGCTCAGGTGGTCTAGGAAAGGGACAATAAGGACTCCTCTCGGCAGGTAAACCACTCCCCAAGCTTCACCACAGACTCTCGCCTGGATCGAGAGGTGAAAGATGCACTTCTCTGTGATGCCATGAACCTTGTCAACCTCCGGGGCTGTGACAAGAAGAAGGTGATCGAAGAGGACAAGCGTCGAGTCAAGGAGCGGCTTTTCCCATGCCACCAACAGCCACGAGAAGCCAGGTGTGTCTGGTATCTAATAGATATTTGTTTATTTGAGACAGGTCTCTGCCTGGCCTGGGACTAGATATGTAGACCAGGTTGGTCTCAAACTCACAGAGATCTACCGGCCTCTGCCTCCCAGTTGCTGGGATTAAAGGTGTGCATCACTATGTCCAGTTTATTTATTTTTAAGTTAATATAGCACGTGTTGTGTGTGTGTGTGTGTGTGTGTGTGTGTGTGTGTGTGTGTGTCTGTGTCTGTGTGTGTGTACTGCGCCATGCCAGACCCGTGGTCAGAGGACAACATGTGGTAGTTGGTTCTCTCCTTCCAACATGTTGGAGCATGGGGATTGAACTCAGGTCCTTAGGCTTGGCCGCAAGTATCATTATCCATTGACCCATTCTGCAGGTCCTGGTAGGGGTTTAGTTGTGCAACTTAACTGCTTTGTTATTACTTTCCTGAGAGAAGGAGCTGATTAGCTGGAAAAAAAAATTTGCATAGGTAATACACTACATATTCTAGAGACATATTTTTAAAAAATACATTGAGTAGTCTTTTTCATGCCCCTCTCCTGCAGTGACTCAGTTTTCAGCTGACTCATGTTACTATTGTATATTTATATTTGTACAAGCATTTAAAAGTCTAGATGAGCCGGGCGGCGGTGGTGGCGCTCGCCTTTAATCCCAGCACTCAGGAGGCGGATCTTTGTGAGTTCAAGGCCAGCCTGGTCTACAGAGCGAGATTCAGGACAAGAACCAAAACTACACGGAGAAACCTTGTCTCGAAAAACCAAAAAATAAAAAATAAAAAATAAATAAAAATAAAAGTCTAGATGTGGGGCTGGAGAGATGGCTGAGCAGTTAAGAGCACTGGCTGCCATTCCAAAGGACCTAGGTTCAATTCCCAGCACCCACATGGTGGCTTGAAATCATCTGTAACTCCAGTTCTAGGGGATCTGACCCCCTCCTTTGTGGGCACTGCACATACATGGTGCACAGTCATACAGGCAGGCAAAACATCCTCACATGTAAAAATAAATATTAAGAAAGTCTAAATGTATTTATACAAAATCCTTTCTCCTGGTATCCCCAGACTGTTAAATAAGTCACACTCTGTAGCTTTCTTCAGTAGGTACATAAGGAACTGTATGTTGTGTGATCAGCTGGTTGGGGCTGTTTAGTTCTGACACTATTATTATTATTATTATTATTATTATTATTATTGGTTTTTCGAGACAGGGTTTCTCTTTGTAGCTTTGTGCCTTTCCTGGATCTTGCTCTGTAGACCAGGCTGGCCTCAAACTCAAAAAGATCTGCCTGGCTCTGCCTCCCGATTAAAGGCGTGCACCACCATCGCCCGGCCTGACACTTATTTTTTTGACACATGTTCTTGCTATATTCAGTAGCCCAGGTAGCCCAGGCAGGCCTTGAACTAATGATATACCATAACTCCCAGTTGGTTTTTTTTTTTAACTATTTTTATTTATTTTCAGAATTTCATAGATGTATATGGTGTATTTTGGTCAAATTCACCCCTGCCCCCCAACCTGTAACTTCTCCCAGATCCACCATCGTAACTTCTTGTTTTGTTTTGTTTTGTTTTGAATAACCCACTGAGTCTGGTTTGTGTTGTCTGTGTACTCATTGGAGTGGGGCTGTCCACTGGAATGGGGTCTACATACCAGGAGTCACACTCTTAAAGAAAACAGACTATCTCTCCTCCCGGAAGACATCAACTGTCAATAGTTTCTCATCCAGAGATGGGGCTTCTGAGCCCCTCCCCCCTCCACTGGAATGTTGACTGTGTTGACTTGGTGCGGATACTGTGCAGGTACCCACAGCTGCTCGGAGCTCTTGAGAGCATCTGTTCTGTTAGGTCCAGAAGATACTTCATTTGCTCCAGTCCTCTCTGGCCTCTGGCTCTATGATCTTTCCATCCCCTCTTCCACAAAGAGGGTGGTGGTGGTGGTGGTGGTCTGTTTTGTATCAAAGCTCATCTAGAAACCAGTTCCTGAGAATCCTTGTGACAACGACATCCAGGAAGCAATTCAGTTGTATATGAAATTGTTTGAGTTATTCTTTATCACTCACTATTTTCACTATAAAATGGTTTACAATAGGTTATAATAGGTTGCTAATACTGAAATTATAATTTGCTGATGAGACATAAAATTGAATTGAATTAATCTGGAGAGTAGCATTGTTTTTCTCTGTTTGCATTTTGATATGCAGAGGCAAAGTGTATTCGATTCCTTGAAATAGCGTTAGGGACTGGCACATAGCAGCCACTCCAATATTTGTGTGGTGAATGGGGGTGAAGGATCATTTGTAAGCACCCTGAATAACCCCAAAAGATGGGGTGGTACATCTGAATGAATCGTGTCTGTCAGTGGGAAAATGTGTGGAAAATACTGGACTAAAGAAACAAAGGAATCCTGGTGTCATGGTGCAGGACTGGAATTCCAGCACTTAGGAGGTAGAAGCAGGAGGGTCATAAGATCAAGACCAGCTTGAGCCACTTAGCAAGCTCTTGTCTCAGGCAAATGGACAAACAAATGTTAAAACTACAAGAGCTTTTTCTTTTTTACAGTCTAGGAATGAATTGTGTGCCTCACAGCAGTGAGCACGAGGCTGGCTGGTTGGCCTTGATCTCACTAAGAAGCTGAGGCTGGATTTGCACTCTAGCTCCTCTGCCTTCCCAGCTTCCCAGTGTTAGGATTGTAAGCCTGTGGCACATCTACTTTAATCTTTTTCATATATATATAGTTTTTCAAGACAGAGTTTCTCTGTGTAGTTTTGGAGCCTGTCCTGGATCTCGCTCTGTAGACCAGGCTGGCTTCGAACTCACAGAGATCTGCCTGCTCCTGCCTCCCGAGTGCTGGGATTAAAGGCATTGCCACCACCAACTGGCTTTCTTTTACATTTTCTATATCAAATTGGTATTACTCTTATAATCAGGAGCCCAAAAGACTGTGGTAACCAGATTGTTTGTTTATGACTAGATCACTCTGAATTTAGGATGAGAATCAAAATTCTGGAAACCACACCTAATTTGATGATCATGTACATGGTGGGGCTAGCCATGAGCTTGGATGCTTCCCTACCTAGGCAGGGCTCAGGGAGACCCGGCAGGCAGTAGGAGGTTCTGAAAGCCTTAGCCAGCGTTCTTTTCCCTCCGGAACATTCTCACAGCCTTCCTCTGACTCCCCTAAGCTTGGTTTCTATAGGCGAGAGCAGATTGAGTCATCCCAGGCTGCCATGCAGGACCAGGAGCGATATGAAGATTCCCACCTAGGGGGCTACCGGCGGATCTACCCTGGGCCCGACTCAGAGAAATATGCACCCTTCTTCAAGCACAACGGCTCCCTCTTCCAGGAGACTGCTGCCTCCAAGGCCAGAGAGGAGTGTGCCAGGTACCTTGGCTGCATTTTCCTCTGTCCAGGTGGGGTGGGGGCAAGTCCTGAAGTTGAATTGCTCCCTAGCAGGGGAAGAGGAAGACGCCACATACTTGAGAAAGGAGAAATAGAGAAAGATTTCTAACAGGTTCTCCTCTGTATCCAGGAATATGCATGTATGCCTTCACTTGAACGTATGATGTGTATGTATGCAATGTATGTGTGCACGCTATGCATGTGGAAGCCAGAGGACAACCTTGGGTGTTGTTCCCTAGCTGCTTACCTTGTTTGTGCATTTTTGTTTGTTTTCAAGACAGGGTTTCTCTGTGTAGTTTTGGTGCCTGTCCTGGAACTCACTCTGTAGACCAGGCTGGCCTCGAACTCACAGAGATCCACCTGCCTC